ACATGTATATATATATAGACAGATAGAGGGAGAGAGAGTGCGTGTGTGTGTGTGTAACTATTTGGGGTCTGTATTCTGTGAAGAAGTACCTGCTATGTGCTGATCGGTTCACCAGGTCCTAGGGCTTATAAGGAATGTTCCCTGAACTAAATACTATTTCAACTCATAGGGGTTCTCGATAAGTTGTAAGGACATCTTCGAAAGAATGGAGGACAGGACAAGTGTAAGAAGGGAGACGCGCCACCATAGAGGTTAGCAGTCCAACTGCCACAGACTTCGTCTCCGTCTGTAGGTTTACGGGTTTTAGTTGCTTGGCAACAGAATATCGGAGCACAGACTAATTATTGAACTAACGTTTCGGAAACCAGGAAAACCAGCTGAGCAAGAACGGGACGATCCGACATCGTCGACTACTTGCGTGCATTGAAAAGTGCAGATGCACATATACGTACATTATTACACACCTAGCTACCTATCTGCCTACCTCCCACCCTCCCTAGCCACCTACCTACCCACCTCCCTACCTGCCCGCCCGTCTACCTACCTGTACACACCTATATACCTGCGTATTAAAACCATGCACGTACCCATGCATTCACAAAGACATACATGCAAGAAGACAGAGAGACAGGCAGACACACATGCACACCCTACTCCCCTGCCTGCCTACCTACCTACCGACCCAACTACGTACCTTGCGTTTTTGCAAAGGGGTGTATGTATGGCTGTATGTATGCATGTATCTAAGTAAGCATATCTCGTGTGGTGACTTGTTGGGTACGACACTATAAAGGCAAACAAACAAACAAAAACACCACCAACCTACAAACAACGAATAACCCGACAGAGCACACCCACCAACCCCAAAAGCTGACCAAGCACTAATCCACTTCTACCATAAACCTGAAAAACCGGTAACACCGTGTAGACCCTAAACTTCCTAAACCTGAAACCCCAAGTCGCGAACACACCTAGGCATGTAGGCCTGGGCATAGCTCTGGGTTCGGGAACTAGCTGCGTCCGGGGAGTTTCGTCATCAACCCAAACGCTTAGCCCTCGATGTGGGCTCAGAAGGTGCCTTTGCTGTAAGGACGGAGATGGAAGATTCTTTTGTCGGGCTTTGCACCAGGGTCTACACCAGGGTTCCGGGTTGATAATGGGGAGGGGCCCGGGTCGTCTGAAGCTTTGGGCGTAGTTCAGGGTTGCAGGGAAGGAGGGCCAGCAAGTCGGATTCACGTTCAGGCAAGGCTACAGTAGCTGCAGATAAGATATTTTGGCGGGTTCAGGACTCGATGTTTGAGGCGAGGGTTTGGGTTTGAAAAAAAGACATCTTCAAGCATCAGTTGCCGCCCAGGCACATTAAGGTCACCAATGCCGGCCGCCCATACCTGCTAAGGACTTAGGAAAACCGAACGATCAGACGAACAACAAAAATGGACACGACCAGCAAGTAACAAGGAACGAATCCTTCTTCAACACCTAAACTCTGAATCTAAAAACCTGAACTCCTAGAACCCAAAGCCTCCAGTAGTAGAAGCTGTAGTAGCTGTAGTAGTAGTAGTAGTAGTAGTAGTAGTAGCAGTAGTAGCAGTAGTAGTAGTAGTAGTAGTAGTAGTAAGTAGTTAGTAGTTAGTAGTTAGTAAGTAGTAAGTAGTAAGTAGTAAGTAGTAAGTAGTAAGTAGTAAGTAGTAAGTAGTAAGTAGTAAGTAGTAAGTAGTAAGTAGTAAGTAGTAAGTAGTAAGTAGTAGTAGTAGTTGTTGTTGTTGTAGCAGCAGTAGCAGGAGCAGAAGAAAAAGAAACAGGAGCGGGAGCGACTAAAAAATCAGCAAAGAATCGGAGCCGGTCCTCGGACAGGGAAGCGCTCGGAGATCGTCTCCGTTGCCTGGAGAAGCCGAAGGAGATCTAAAGAAGCACTTCTTAGGATTGAGGGCTTTGGGTTTAAGGTTTAGGGTTGATCCAAAACATCCAGCGGCGCTAGGGCTAGGCGGTTTAGGGTTGAAGGTAACATAGGGTTTTGAAGACGTGGTGGAAATATTCCCTGATCCTCCCTAAGACACAAAATCTCAGAAAGAGTTTTAGTCATGGTCCCCAGATCGGTTGTCTATGCTGCTGCACAGAAAGGGGCAGTGACTTAAACGATACCAAAATATCTTGCAGAACATCCATAGAAACCCGAAGAAGCCCCTGCCTCTCCCATCGAGTCAGGCGAGTCCGAGGGAGCCAGCACCTTAGGAAGCTCGGCTTCGGGGTTTTCAGCTCCGGGCCTCGGGTTGGATTGGTGGACTGGCAGTCTTTGGGCGTGAGGTTTTAGGATCAGGGCTGGGTTTAGGGTTTAGGGTTTAGGATTGCGGGTTTTGGGCGTGAGGCTTAGCGTGTACGGCTCAGGGTCATGGTTCGCGGATGTCCCGGACGCAACGCACCACAAAAACTCGAAAAAGACGGGTCAAGACAGCAAGTGACCAATCACAAGTTCTCGACAACACCTTACCCTAAACCCTACTAAACCCTAAAGACCCTGTAAACCCTAAAGACCCTATAAACCCTATAAACCCTATAAACCCGAAACCCTAAACCCCTAAACCCTAAACTTCAAACCCTAAACCCTAAACCGGATCACCTTCCCCAGCCGCCTGCAGCCGCTGGCGCAGCGCTTTGACTGCTGCGGCGTGCTCCTTCCAGCCTCAGGGTTCAGGGTTTGTAGGGTTTAGGATCTAGGGTTTACGGTTTTAGGGTTTAGGGTCTGGAGTTTAGGGTTTAGGGTTTAGGGTCTACGATTTCTGGCCAAGCAACCGTAAGCTTTGAGGCTACATAGGAGCTACTGCGAGGGGACTATAAGGGATAGTCTACGAGCTACTATAAGTTGGGACAGCTACTATAAGTTGAGATAGTCTACGAACTTCCTTCTGGCTTTTGGGACTCAGCGCTTCGGGCTCGGAGGGTTTCAGACCTGAAGGCCCGGCGGTTCCGGCTCGGGGGCTTCGTTGCGGGTTTCCGAAGGGCAGGGGTCTGGGTTGGGGCTTGAAACCTCAAGTCTACCTGGGTCTGATAATGTTGGCATCATCCTTGCGCAGAGAATGTGGCTTGTAGAATGGCGGCTGGAACCCTTCCACACCTCAATTTCCATCAACACATGCAAGTGCACACGATCTAGAAGTTTTTAGGCTCCAATGCTAGCACTTGCTTGCACTAGCAGCGGCAAGAACCTAAATTAGGGACCCCTGAAGCCGCAAACCTGATTCGATCTGTTTACATTTGTCGGTGTTGCCTGCCGAAAGAGTTACATTGATGGTCATGACCAGCTTGATGAATTCAACATAAACTACCGTTTGATGTTCGATGAGCGGACACAACCTGGCCGAAGCACTCTGGAAGCACTGTCGCCACGTGGATTCCTCGTCGCGGAGCCACGTCAAGACACCTTCATCCGACCAGAAGTGTGGAAGCTATAAAGTTATGCTCCAACCCCAAGCGAACACCCCGAAACACTATCGCCCTCAAGCGAACAACCCCAAAAATTTGGCCCTGAAGCCCTGAAACCCCAAGGTCAAAACCCAAAACCCGACGCCCCAAACCCTGAAACCTTAACCACCTAAAGCCCTGAAAGCCCGTAAACCTTCAGCCCAGACCATGCATTCGGCTAAGGGTGCAAACGATTCGCAGCTGAATAGTTACCACTCAGGCAAGAAAAAGGCATAAAGGTCCTTTCAACAATCATTTCCAATCTGCACACGAAGGACTTATAATTTCCCAGCCGAGGGGACTAGTACCATTAGAATAGTACAAGCGGAAAATACATTATGATTATTACTCTTATTTTTACTACTACTACTACTACTACTACTACTACTACTATTACTACTACTACTACTACTACTTCTTCTTCTTCTTCCAGAAGTGCCCGCTGACTACTATCTCGGGTGCTTCCTGGTCTTTTCGCAGAGCGGGAACAATTCCTACATTCACCAAAACCCTGAGCACCCCGACTGAAAATATAGCTGCTAAAGAAGCTATTTGACTGAACCACTGTTCTCATTCTCCTCTTGATGTTGTGGTTCCGAAGATGCTGTGTTGCACGTTTTGGGCCTCAGGGCTTGGTCTGTCATGGATATTGCGCTGATGGCAGTGTCCGATGGCTTGGGATTTAACACTTCATTAAGCTCAGGGTTGACTACTGAAGGGGAGTAGGGGTCAATAACAGGTCTGCAACCGAGCCACTGAGACAGGTGTCGACGGGAACAAGGCCCTTGCCTCAAAACAAGTTCGACACTGGCGCTGCAGGATATGAAATCTAGTCAATCAAACCAACCTTCTGGGGCAAAGCATCAGCTGCTCCTCCTGCAGCCAGCATCAGGAGAATCAGTCGTCACCTGCTGCCTGCAGTTATGTAATCCCCGGGCCCGAAAACCAGCATCATCAGCATCAGTCGCTCCTCCTGCGGCCTGCGGTAGTACTTCCCCCGGCATGAAAGCCAGCATCATGAGCATCAGCCGCCCCTCCTGCGGCTTGCGGTGATACTTCCCCGGCATGCAAGCCAGCATCATGAGCATCAGCCGCCCCTCCTGCGCCCTGCGGTACCTGAAGGCCAGCATCATGAGCATCAGCTGCCCCTCCTGCGGCCTGCGGTAGTGCCTCCCCTGGCCTGAAGGCCAGCATCATGAGCATCAGCCGCCCCTCCTGCGGCCTGCGGTCTTGCTTCCCCCGGCATGAAAGCCAGCATCATGAGCATCAGCCGCCCCTCCTGCGGCCTGCGGTAGTACTTCCCTGGCATGCAAGCCAGCATCATGAGCATCAGCCGCCCCTCCTGCGGCCTGCGGTAGTGCCTCCCCTAAGGCCAGCATCATGAGCATCAGCCGCCCCTCCTGCGACCTGCGATGTACCTCCCCTGGCCTGAAGGGCAGCATCCTCCTGCCTGAAGGCCAGCATCATGAGCGTCAGCCGCCCCACCTGTGGCCTGCGGTGGTACCTCCTCCTGCCTGAAGGCCAGCATCATGAGCATCAGCCGCCTCTCCTGCGACCTGCGATGCAGCATCATGAGCGTCGGCCGCCTCACCTGTGGCCTGCCGTGGTACCTCCTCCTGCCTGAAGGCCAGCATCATGAGCATCAGCCGCCCCTCCTGCGACCTGCGATGTACCTCCGCTGGCCTGAAGGCCAGCATCCTCCTGCCTGAAGGCCAGCATCATGAGCGTCAGCCGCCCCACCTGTGGCCTGCCGTGGTACCTCCTCCTGCCTGAAGGCCGGCATCATGAGCATCAGCCGCCCCTCCTGCGACCTGCGATGTACCTCCCCTGGCCTGAAGGCCAGCATCCTCCTGCCTGAAGGCCAGCATCATGAGCGTCAGCCGCCCCACCTGTGGCCTGCGGTGGTGCCTGAAGGCCAGCATCATGAGCCTCACGGTCTGCAGTCGCGAATCCACAGCATCATCAGCGTCAGCCACCCATCCTTATCCTTGGACCTAGTAGTAAAGAAACAGTTGGCAGGAGTATCAGTTTGTCCCTATGGAAGCCGTTGCGAGCTTTTAAGGCCTGACACCAATCAACATCGCCGTCGCGACCCTCTGCCTCCGCATCATTCTCACTACCGTCGTCCTCGCAGTCGTCGCAACATGCCAGCAGAGCGACACAAGGAAAACAGCTCGGCTGGATGCTTCCTTTGGTCCGAAGTTCTCATCTGCCTTGAAAACGAAACTGAACAAAACCCTACCGTCTCAAAACCCAAAACACCCGAATCCTGCAGCTCTGAATGCTCAAAGCACAGCAAATCTACGGGCAAGCTGCCTGGCATGATAGCCCAGCAGCTACTTTCTGGGACACAGAAGAACAGCTCGCTGCCTGCAGCTGTTCTTGAAGCCGACACGCAAGGCAATCGTAGTTGCAGTGTTAGGGTTTAAGGTTTAGGCCTCGGCATTCACACTTTGTAGTGGTAGTACTCGCAGCACTAAGATTTCTGAATCGAGGCCCGCAAGTGGCCGACATCACCGTAAAGCACGACATCACTGCAAACAAACAAACTGCCGTGAAAAAACATGTTGCTCTGATCTGCCCCGCCCAGAAAAGAAGACGACTAACAAAGCGCAACGAACAAGAATCCAACTGCCGGTCAAGGTGCCGTTGTCTGCCGTCCTTTCAAGAGTTTGAGGCTTCGGAGTTTCGGATCTCACGCAGGGTGGTGGCAAGGAGACAAATGTGAACGAAAGTGAAAGGCCTGCGAATACCTACGGTACAAGTTTGACCGCCATGCTGCTTTCGAAACATGCGAAGAGCGGTCCGACTGTAATCGATCAACCATTCCTCACGATTCGTCAAACTCACCGCACGCTCCAATCAATGAGCAGGGATAAGTCCACGACACTGTCCCCGAAACAGAGAGGCTACTTGCAACGTACAGAAAAGTGAAATCAACGACGGCGGCATCAGATAGCTTGGAAAACCATGAGCAGCAAAGCAATTAAACCTGTGTTTGAACACACCATCACGAAGAATAGCAAGAAGAGGAGCCACAACAAGAACGAAGAGATGAAGAAGATGAAGAAGAACACAAACCTTAAGCCCCCGGTTGAGTCCAAAAACCCTTGAGCTCCAAACTCTCTTGCACTTGCAGCTGCTCTGGCCTCTTTCTCCACGTCTTCGTGGCCGAGTGAGTTGCCCAACCAGTTTCACAAACCTCAGGATTGTGTCGGGTTTGGGATTCGATGAAGGGCTTTGAGGGTTTTAGGGCTTTGAGGGCTTTAGGGCTTTGAGGGCTTTGGGTTTCGGGGTTGTTGAATTTGTTCGCATTCCAACGTATGTTCGTGCTGAGGATGTTGGCGTTCGGTGGGTGAGGTTGGGGTTCGGCTGAGTTTTCGGACGTGGGCTTAAGGATTCCACTTTTCATCTCCATGGGGACTGTGGGTTTAGGGTTTAGGGTTCTGCAGAGGAGCCAGGCTCACTTGGGCCGACCAGCCTCACAGGCGCCGAAGGGGAGCTCAGAGCCCACAAGCCCGAGGTGACGGAAGCCCCTTCTCGAAAACAAATGCCCCCGCCCCACAAAAACACATCTCCAGGTAACCTGAGATTTCTTGGTTCCTGAGTAGCCCCTCTATGATAAGGGTACCCTTTTTTCCTACTATTCGGTTTTAGTAACGGGGGCCCTCAAAATACAAAGGGCCAAAGGGTACTACTCAGGGACCTAGGAGCCCCAGAGACTTCCAGAAGAGAAGCAGAGCCCAAGCCGCACCGGAAATCCCACAAAGAATTGCGAAACCTGCCCTCACTCTTTAGGGTTTTAGGGGTTTTTAGGGTTTAGGGTTTAGGGTTTAGGGCCCCCAAAGGGGGCAATGAGTACCTTATCAAGTTGGCATAAACGCCCTCGCACTATCCCCGGTACATCCCGGCGCAGGATGCCTTCCTCAGAGGAGGACCCTGTCGCGGACTCCAGAAGGGCTATGGGTACTCCCAGAGCCCACAGGGCCTTTCGAAAACCCCACCACAACCGCCACTCGAAGGAGAATCCCACCCAAGGTTTATCCGACTAAATACCATGGCTGTGATGACTAAAGCCATCCTATGACAAACTTGAACATACCAGACTCACTCACTACTGGAACCCTCTTCTCTGGGTTCGGCACATTCCAGCCCTCCGCAGGTGGCGGAGACAAGCCACGGTGGTCCTTCCGATGCATCAGGATTCTGCTATCAGGGTTCAGAAGAGCTGAGTCCATCAACATCCACTTGAAACTTGGAGGATTTGCGACTTTCGATCAGCGTGTTCAGATGATGCCGATCCAAGCTTCAAACCCCAGAAATCCGACATCCTAAACTCGTTACAGGCCCAAGCTCGAAGCACACCCTTCGGGGTTTCAGGTTCAGGAGCTTGTTTTCGGTCGGCAAAGACGATGGGTTGGTTGTGAGGATGAGCCCGCCACGATAAAAAAACCCTCTGGACGACATGAGCCATCCCAGGTACACACAGGCAAGCAGATCAACATCGATCGGATGACACACCTCCCACATCACAACTCTCCAAACACCAACACGATGAAGCTCCCTTAAACCCTTAACTCCAAACCACCACTCTGTTCCTGGCAGCGCCCTTCTCGCCGCCCGAGGGGCGCCGTGCGCAGCGCGGGGCGGCTGGCTGGCTCCTGGGCTGTCCAAGCTACGTTTTTGGTGGTTTTGCTTAAGGGTCTAGGGCTTAGGGTTTAGGGTTAAGGGTCGTGTGTAAGTTCCTTATCCGGGCTTTTTACGGGCCTCAGGGCGGCCTCGGGATGCTTCTCATAGAAGCACTCCTTTGGAACAGTGTATGTTGATGGGGAACCCTGCTAAAACTGGCGGGAGGTAGTTAGGACTGGGGGAGTTGTCAAACATCTGCAGCCGTTTGCAATTTGGAAGTTTTGGGCATGGGCTTCGGCCTTCAAGTTAGTGCAGTACCGCGCCTGCGTTGTGCTGCGGAGGGGAACTTTTTGTTTCTTCTTGGCACGGACGAAAACCCGAGCGGATAAGAACAAACATCAGATTCTGAATTTAGCTTTGCAACAAAAAATGTCAAACCTGTAAATGTTTTCGCATTCGGGGACTCTGACATCAGGGCAACTCGCGACAGACGCGAGACCCCACAAAATCCTATTGCAGCGTCATAAGCAACCAACAGTACAATCTGTTACACTTACATCACGCAAAGACACAACAGCATAAAACTTTCTGAAACATCAAAGACTACAAGCTCCTGCAATTTCACGAACAAGATAAACAAGATATGTTTCGGGCGAACACAGTGAATCAATCCCATGTACTCCCAAAGCGTGCAAGAACCTGACCCGTCCTCCACGATGGCCTCAGACACAGCTGGGATTTGAGAAAAAAACAAGGTTTGGGAACTTCGGGATAAAGCTTAGGCTGTCAAGTCTGGGCATATATCGTCACAGTTCAACTTTCTGCTTGGCACCAGGCATCCACCAAGCCCACCGAAACCCTGCGCCCCAACACGCTGTTGGAAAAAAACTAAACCGAAACCTGCACCTCCAGGCCCGCAAAGCCCGACGACACCCGACTACTATCCACTACTTGGCAGCTCTGGAAGTTGAAGCAGCCACACTACACCCCGAGAACCCTTCACCCTGAAGCTTGGATCGACCATCTGCCCCGTGCCATTATGTCAAAAAAGGGTATGAATCATAAAAGCCGAAACAACACAGTTGCAGCGATGTGCACATTCGAAGAAGCATCTAAAAGAAACAAGAGGCCCCGAACCGCAAAACCCTAACCCTCAACCCCTAAATCCTCAACCCTAAACCCCTAAACCCCTAAACCCTCAACCCCTAAATAGCCTTAAATCCTGCAGCCCTAAAAACTGACCGAGGCCCTTCCCTCGGCTCTTGGGCGCACACTTCCGCCTCCAGCTCGCCGCGCTTGAAGCCGCCGTGCGCCCGGAGCTGGGAAGGCCAGGGTTCGAGCGCTGTAGCGGCCGAGGCTGGTTTAGGGGTAGGGCTTGAGGGCTTAGGGTGTAGGGCTTTAGAATTTTGCGGCCAGGTGAGGTTGGATCTGTGGGTTCAGGATTTTGCGGGTTTAAAGATCAGGCTTCCAGACTGCTCCCAGGGCTTCTTGAGACATGCTAGGGATATTTGCTAAGGTTTGTCAGGAGTTTAGGTTTGAAGGGGTTCAGGTTGTTAAACGGCTTAGGGCTTCCTCGGGTTTCTGTGTGGTGTGGGAGCTTGGGGACGAAAGCCTTGGCTGCTAGTCAACCTCTGAATAATATGCGTATACCCTGAAATGCCTTAGTAACCCTAAAAAGAAGAGCTTTAGGATTGGCCAGATAGCACTACGATTGGGTTTTACAACTTGCACTTCCCATTCCATAAGCGGGCAATGGAGAACAACCTTCAGAATCAAAAAAATATCCCCGCACAGCCTCATGGAGCCCTGAAGCCTAACTCCTCAGCTCCTAAAACCCACAAACTTCCACGGAAACCTCCGCAAAAAAAAAGCACACCAAAAACAAACACATCCCCAAAACTGACTGATCTGCAGAAACGTCGCGCAACAAAAGGGTTTAGGGTTTTTTTTAGGGTTTAGGGTATGTCAAGCCTTGAGGACTTCCGGGCTCTGCCAGGCTTCACAGCTCAGCATTCTGAGACGAGCGATCTGAGAGCCCCCGCGAAGATGTCCACCTTCCCACCTTGCCTGGCGAGCCCGAACGTGTGTGGAGTCTTGAGGCGTTTTGTGGCGTGGGGTCCATAGGGTTTAGGGCTTAGGGTTTAGGGTTTAGGGTTCAGAAGTTTAGGGTTCGGTGTGTGGGGGGTTTTCGGTTGGTCCTAATCGCTCGCACAACACGGGCAGGAGCCTACAAACCCAATGGCGAGACCTGGAAAACACATGGAACCTCCGGCGTCCTGTGAAATCCCTATGGCCAGGGGTCCCAATCAAACTTCTCAGAATCACACGAATATCTGCAACAGCTGCACAAACTGCACCAACACAAAAAGAAAAGCACTCCTGTGATTGCGCAATGATGCCAATAATAAACCAAGTACAACCGTGCCCGACAAACATATTGTTAACACTCACTAGCATTCAACACAGATAATGAGAAAACAAAAACAAGACTAATACAATAAGAAGAAAGGCCAAGGAATAATAATAATAACATTGCAATAATTGTGATGATGATGATGATTTTACTACTATTACTAGTAGTAGTAGCAGTAGTAGCAATAGTAGTATCAGTAGTATCAGTAGTAGTAGT